GTGTGTGTGTGTGTGTGTGTGTGTGTGTGTGTGTGTGTGTGTGTGTGAGAGAGACATGACTGTCCAGCCAACTGGGTCTGTACTAACAGAGGGATTATCGTGGAGGAAGATTACTGTGGCACAAGAGTCTATAAGCAGCCACAATCAGGGACAGTGACTGTATGAACACACACACACACACACGACACAACGTTACAACAGCACTCATGTAATTTCTACCGCTTTACACACATGCATTTTACGGAATATGCTAATCTGGGAAGTATAGTTGCACCACCACAATAAAAGCATGCAAGAACAGATTTGGCAACTCCTGAAAAAGGGGCTTTGATTACAGAAATGTTGTCATTTTGGAAGGTTGGTTGTGACACAGTATGTCTTACAATAAAGGCCTTTACACAGCTGAGGCCTGCAGCAGCTGATAGTGAGAGAAGAGATAGAGATTTGGGTGAGGCAGAAAGAAAAGAGTAGGTGGTTACATTTTATGGGGGGGGAAACAAAAACTCAACAAACACATTTGAAATGAAGCGACACAGAAAGGTGATTTGATTATTGTGTTAATTTCATGACTAAAACCTTTGAAATGCAGCAATCTAGCATTGTCTTTACTCATTGTTTTCTACCCTCATCGAAGGGTTTTCGTAAATAATCCCATAAATCGAGTCCTGGTTCAGGATCAACAATGAAACTGACTTTTACAACAATGCAACGCACCGAGGAAACTCTCCTGCTCTCTTTTCTCAACTTTCTCCAAGTGTCACAGCACCAGCGAGGCCCTGCTCGCTCACTTCCAGGACAAAATAACACTTTTTGTTCACGGGCACTTCTTACCTTAAAATGAGACGTTTTGCAGCGTTTCACTGCGGCTACATGTGCTATATTTTCTTTACTCCCAGGTTTTTATTTCACGTCGACAATCCAAAAGGAGTGCAAACGGCCGAAAGAAGCGGTTCCTAACGTGGAATCTCAGTCTTCCGTCTGTCCCATACCGATTAACTACTTCACCCGCACAAAGTCCTCCGCTGTGCTGCTTTGTATTCCTTTAAAACACGAGGACACACCGCCAGCTGACAAAGGCTGCTTAATATGGCGGAGTGAGAGCCAAGCAGACCAGTTATAATATCCACAAATCACCGCCCGCTGATGGGTCAGGGTTGCCCCGAAAGACGCACAACAATAGCCCGACTAGTGCCGAGGAACCGACGAGGCCAGGGAAGGAATAACGCTGCGTTCAGGTACTCAGATTAGACTCGTACATCCGGGTTTTTTTTGTGGTTAAAATATATATTTTTTGAAACGTTTATCCTTTCTTGTGATTCACAAAAAGCAAATAGTATTATTAAGAAAGTCTGAAAACATACCATATTTAAAGTCCTAGGGTTTCTTATCTTGTTAATATAATTTAATTTAACTTTAAACCCTGTGTAGATAACACATATTGGCCTATCACCATAAATAATAGCATGTATTTTATGGTTCATGTTGTCCTTTATAAATAAGAGCTGCAATTTAAGATTACTCTAATTATCAATTCAGCAAATTATACTTTTTTCAATTACTGGTTTTGTTTTATAAAATGTCTTAAAATAGAGAAACATTACTGTCAATTGCTTGTTTTTTCTGTCAGAAACGCAAAAATGTAATGATAGCTTATAAAACAGAGAAAATCTGTAAATGATCCCAATTAAATATACAGAAGAAGTTCATGATGATTTTTCTTTACTTAAAATGATTATCAAAATAGTTTTCGTGTCAATAGACTGATAATTTCAGCCCTCGCCTACATTGTTAAAGTGTATACTTTGTAACAAAGCACATAGTGAACAGAAACACTTCATAACTGATGATTTGAGAGGGAAAATATTTGCCCAAAACAATTCAAAGCAACAACACTTCACCAATAACTTTTTCTTCCTCTCTAGTTTCGTTTATTTAGCTGGCATGTTCTCTTATTTTCGATGACGCTTGAACGTCACGTCCCCTCCTATTGAATGGTTTTCCCTTATGACCAATATGGCCGACATCACTGGCTCAGAATGAGGAGAAAATCCTCCATCTGGCTTTGTACCAAATATATAAACAGTTCTCATTTGTATCACCCAAACCGAATCAAGTAGAAAGTTAGACATAAATAGCGATGTTGTATCGTTCCGTTTAACCTTTTAACCGTATTTGCAATGTGCAGGTAACCTCGAGATTGAATGCATGGATGAATTACTTACTTACTTATTACGTATAACATTATATATTTAACATTATATATAGGCTAGGCTTGCAGCACGTTATGCATGATAACTTTCTGTCAGTCACATGACATTTCCAAAGGGAAATAGAGTGGGCCTGGTTAAATGTTATTGCTATGGACAGTTCTATGATTATAAAAGTAAAACGCTAGGATAAAGCTGTTTTTGAGAGGGGGTGGCCGTGTTGAAATTGCATCTTAAAGATCTTGTACGAGTAAAAAATATGACTACAATACTTCAACACTGCAGGTTCAATAAGTATGAGATCTTTTTTTAGGCTTAGTTTGAAGTGATTTGCTGACCCCTACTGACTCGGACTGCACTGTGCGCAGGCGGACTGGAAGTGTCCCCCTGGGAGACGTCTCCAAAGCGGCCCCTGCGGGTAACAAGATGTACTAAACAGACACCCACACACACACACGCACGCACACACACACACACGCACACAAAAACACAGTTTCAGACTGTATTTCTGGAACTCGCTCGGTTGTCAGGTTATATTATTTCCTATATTTCTATAAAAATAAAGATTTGTGCTCAGATAAAACGTGATGTGTGCCTGCAGCACATTGTGTCTAATTGGTGGGATAATTAGATTATTTGAGATTCTTTGACAGGTAATAATGGACAGTGTGAGCAAGTGGAGTTGTAGCCTCGGTGTTTCCCAATCTAAGGGTTGAGACCCCTCCAAGGGGTCACAAGATAGAGGAAGATTTAAAACAATAAAGAAAAAGCAAAGACATAACAGGAAATACAATACACACTGTATGTTTCTTCAAGCTATAGGCCTCTGTCCATTTGGTACGTCATAATGGAGCCTTCGCTAAGCCCCGCCCCCTGCCCATAAACTGTCAGAGCGACCATAGAGTCACTAACTGCACTTCCTGAAGAAATAATATAAAGTAAAAAGCCATTTTTAGACAGAAGTGTTGATGGCTGTATCCAGGATGTCAAACAGATTCAGGAGCTAAAAACATGTTTATAAAGATGACGATAGAAGCTAAAGACTTCAGATCAGAGAGTAAAAGTGAATCACTACACCTGCTATCGAGGCATAAAACAATGAGATTAAGGAACCACACATTCCTCTGAAGCCAGGTCGTTATTTATTCACTGTGACAATCAGTATAAAGCAAAAGCAGCACGTGTAGACATTCAGTATATGACGCTGGTAGAGCCTGGCTGATGCTATGCTATGATTGGTCAGTCTGCGTTTAAGGGGCGGGGCTTAGCGAAAGGTTATTTGAATGAAAAACACGTATATAACCATGGGCCCACATTATAAAGGGAATTACATATAACAATGTGTATTGTATTTCACTTTGTTTCTTGGTTTGATTTGCTTTCATTAAGGCATTATGAATTTCCAATACAACATTATCCCCTCTTCCGGTTTCTTAAATAAACACTTTGAGATGTTTAGAGGTGTAAAATTACAACTCAGAACTCCAACCTGCAACAAGGGGTCGCAACACTGCTTCAATTTAATGGGTCAAAACCAAACAGGGTGAGATCTACCGGACTTTATGAACCTGTGCTAAATCCAGGCTGTTCAGTGTTTGTAGCTAAACCTAAGAAAAATGAATGCTGTGTAGTTGGTAGATATCCCTCTAAAGCAAATCGTAATCGACGTAGTCATTAACCATGAATGCAATGAAATCAAATTGACCCAATTTAACCCAATAAATGAATGCCAGTCTAACATTGATTCAAACAAAATCCTATAATAATTTAAAAGTCTTAATAAAAGATAATATAATAACCAAGTGGATTCTATATATAATGCCTGATCTCAACGAAAAACCTGATTAAATAAAGGTTATAATACAATTCAAATATTTAGCAAATGAATTCCAATTAAAATATATTGTTGGGAGAGTGGGGGTGAAGCCTTAATTTGTTCTGCTGAGCAAGCACAACAGATCTTGGGTATTGTCGTTAACCTCACGAGGACCACACGTGAGAGTATTGACTCATCTTTTCTCACCGTGTTCATGACGACCGAACCTCGCGCGCGTCTCTCCTCGTCCTCATGATGGCGCTGTTTGCTCAGGCTACCGAGCTGCATCTTACTCCTGCAGCGACAGGCCGACCGTTAGTCTGCTCCATTTAAAACAGGTAGGGTTTAAGTTGAGCTCTTCGTGGGAATCGCGCCAGTCGAAGAAGAACTTGTGGATAGCCCCCCCTCCTCCGGCAGTGGCTGGCTCTGTTCGTCATATTGCGTCAGAGTAAACAAAACGCTGACGTGAATCTCTCTCCTCTTTGGCAAACTCTTCAATTGGTCGGTGAGCTATATGTCTGATTCAGTGTTGAACAGAGCTCAATCAAAAGGCGCAGTAACCTGAGTTGGTGATGAAAACGAGGCCCAGACAGGACTGCCAAATTAGTGCCCTTCAAATTAAAAGCCTCATAACTTGTATCCATCACATCTCTGATGTAAGCCATCAATTGTATACTGTATGTCAGGAATATGAATGCCAACTTTACACTTAAGTGCTATTTTATATGACTGTATTATTAGCAAATAATAAGAAGCACATTAAAGAGACGCATAAAATGTGCCAAACAAGGCTTCATCCGCGTGGACAGAATCAGGCCATATGCTTCTTGGTTAATTGCCACATATATAACAGTACAGCTCCACCTTTTTCGAGAGTTTTTTTTTCGTTTGAAAGTATCATTCAGCGCATTATAACGATGCAGACAATTTCAGAAACAATGTTGGGGAAATGAGTGGACCGTTTTCTGAAGCTTACGTAGGCTGAAACCTCTCTGAACCGGCATCCTGCGTCACCAGCTTCGAATCAGATTACGTGCCTCGTTTATTTCAACAATCTAACGCATAAGCCAAGGCCTCAGCGCCGTCACTGGGCGGCCATTACAGGCAGCCCGTCGATATCCAGCGAACAATTATTGGAAATGATTCGAATAAGTGACTTTAAATACAGAAAGCCGCAATTTGAGACGATTGGTTTCAGCACTGGACAGCTCCTGACTCCCCAGAGGCCTCTTGGGCTTGCTAAGCGGAAGTCTGCCCCCCCCCCCCCCCCTCCATCCAGTCACACCAAACCACGACCACCAGCCAAAAAGATCGTTTCCCACCAGCTCTGTCATAATCATAAAAAGCCTAATTGGACTTATTGATGACGCGTGGGAAATAACCCGTCGCGGTGGCGGTGAGGGACAAATTGATTTGTATTGACCGTCCCATCATCTCGTGTGCAGTTCATGCATTCACAAACATTTCAGTTTTTTTGTTTTTTTTAAAATATATATTTAAAAGGAAAAAAGTTTGGAAGCAAACTTCCATCTCAGGATGGAGGTGGTGGTGGTGGTGGTGAAAGGGGGGGGGGGGGGGGGGGGGGGGGGCCGAGGGGGGGGGGGGGGGGTGACGGATGCATCGACGAGGAAGGATCTGTACTTTTTTATTCCGGGAGGCAAACTTGATGACGTCTATAGCATCCTTAATGTGACATACTGGAGGGAGGAGGGGGGGGGGGGCAGGCTTACATACATAGATAAAAAACCAAGGCAATCACAGCACAGGACAAAAGTTTAGAGCAGCGATATGCAGACGAACGGACAGCGCACTTTCCCACCGAGTTTTTGTTCACCTGTGCGCCGGGCTGAGTCCTCCTAACTGTGTCTTGAAAGTGAGACACAGGCTGCACTGAGGGGAACATAAGGAGACGACGAAGGCGCTTCAGCAGGGAAAGAAGTGCCGTGAGAAAGAAACCATCTCTCTCTCACACACACACACACACACACACACACACACACACACACACACACAGACACACACACAACCACAGCCGCGCCCGGATCGCATCCTACAGCACAGCGCTCTCCCTGCTCTCCTGCTATAGGTATGTGCTTTATCTGCGGATTGTCTTAACACTCGGAGAAATGCATTGATGGAGAGCGAGATAAAGTAATGGAAATTATTTTGTGCATTGCATGGAGATCTGATGTTTTTTAATTATTACTTTGGCACTGCATGCAAAGGATTCGGTGTCAGTACCACAGTTTGCTTTTACGGAAAGGGATGAATAAAACAGACAGAAATCTTTGTTTTTGGGGGGGTTTGAGCAAACGGACGCTGTGTCTCCAGTATTCAGTTAATACTAAACCGGTTTATGTTCGATCCAGCTTTTGTAGTTTGGGATGAGAGAAGTAGCGCAGCATGATAATTTGGCAGAACAAAGAGCGGGCATGTTATGTCTATAGGAGTGACTAACCTGTTTAATGTTACGTCTGTTTTTCATCTTCTAACAGCATGGCCAGTTCGAGTAAAGCGACTTTAATCTTGCTCGTCTACGGAATCTTAATGCACTACAGCGTCTTCTGCACACCTATCGGACTAAGTTACCCTAAGATTAGGTAGGTGGACGTGCTTTATAACCTGATTATAGTCATTATTGTAACTGATCCCTGTTGCTGCTAAACACCAGTTTGTTCAATGATGGTATTTGCATTGTTATTAATGATTTTTTTTCCTCATTTGAAGATTTGGATTTTGGCACTTTTATTTAAAAAAAAGTGTGCGTAATTTTGTAATTGAACACAAGGAAATACAGTAATTTTAACTTACGCAAATGCAAGTCATGTGTGGACAGTGATAATGGAAATTGCGTAGAGGTATCTGTCCGGTGGGACGGTTCACAGAACTCCCCTTATTAAAAATGAGAGTGCAGTCAATGCAATTGATAGCCCTTGGGATGACGGTGGACTGGCGTCACCAAGGAGAGGCGAGGCAAAGCGAATAGGAGAGCTCCATGCATTTAAGATTTATTCTATTTTTTTTTCTGTGGAAAGCCTATCCATAATTTGGGCGTGGTCTTATTGATTCTTATATTTCATTGCTAATTGCGGCATTATTTTATTTAAAAAATGGGCTCCTCGCCTCCACTGAGTGTGATCATTTTCACACCCTTTGTTTCGATTCTTAAATTATTAATAAGGCTTCAACCTGTGTTCAAAGCAGCAGCAGCAGGAATTAAAAACAGATTTTTCCGATGAAAAAAAACAACAATATATTTAAACAAAGAATAAACACGAAGATACACATTTAACACATTTTAAGCCACTATTTGTTGGCCACATTCAAATAATTCGTTTTCTGGTTTTTATTTCCAAACACCTCCAGGTATTGGATTTGTTTTCGTTTCCTCCCCTTGTCTCTAATGCATTTAACCTGCCAGTGATTTTACAAACGGAAGCAGACATTTTGGCATTCTTTCACTGCTGCGTCCCACTTGTGCACGCAGATCAAATGTATGATGAATGCTCTCCGTCTTTCAGACTCGACAACGACGCCTTCGATGAGGACGGGAACTCATTGTCCGACATGGGTTTTGATGGCGATCAGATTGCTATACGGAGCCCGCCATCCTTAAACGACGACGCGTACACTCTCTACTACCCACCAGAGAAGAGGTAAACGTGCTTTCACATCGCAGCTCGAGTCTCGAGCTGGATTCCATTTTTAATGACTTCTTTGCTGTTTGCGATAATGTTTGCTTGCTTTGTTTTTCCCAGAGTTTCTCATGTTATTTGTTCAGTGTTATTTTCACACCGAGTAGCCTAAAATGTTGGTTCCAAATACTGTTAATAAAATAAAAAAAAGCTCGGGACACACGGAAGGATAGTCTGTGTGCAGCAAAAAAAAAAAAAAAAAAGCTCCGAGGCTCCGATTCAATTGCAGCTGATGTGGTATTGGACCTGCGGGTGGGTTGGTGGGGACATTTTAGGCTACTTTTGATCATTTTGTCTGCGCTTTTTTTAGTCACTGACGATCTATGTGTTTTGGCGTTTTATCATCTCAGACCAGAAAGGCATGCTGAGGAAGAATTAGATAGAGCCTTGAGGGAGATCCTGGGTCAGTTAACAGCGAGACATTATCTGCATTCTCTGGTGACAATTCGTGCAGGGTAAGGGCATTTCTTATAAGCGTTCACCTGCAGTCATCACTTTTATTATGTTTCTCCGCTGCACAAGTCCAGGCTGCTGCATCATTGTCTATCATTTAATGTGCGTGTTTTGTTCTCAGTCTCATTTTTTTGTATCTCTCTCATATGGAAAAAAACAACGTGTATTCATTTTCATTTTGTTTCTGTTTTTGTTGTGGCGCAGCTTTGCGCTCATGATCAGTGTCCTCCCTTAACATTGAGGGTCAGCTTTCTGAGACTAAAATACACTTCGATTTAAATGTGATTAATACATAAAATTCATTTGGTTTTCCCACGCTCTGATGAAAAAAAAAAAAAAAAAAAAATGCGTCAGAATATGCAATGGGCTGAAATTAATAATTTATAACCTTTCTAAAACGCTTCAAATCACTGTTTCTTTTACACTGTCTTGCTTGGCGCCCATTTGTTTTAAAGAAAAGAAAAGGCATAAAAGGCCCCAAAATGAATTATTAATCATTGTAGGCAACATTGCATCATGGCAAGAAGAATATATTATCAGACGTCAAATCAAAAACGAGCAGAAATGTGTTTAGAAGTGGATGGCTGCAGCTTTACTATTTTTTTCATTCTTTTTCAGTGAAGACAACAGCATGGAGGAAGAGTCAGAGCCCTTATCCAAAAGACATTCAGATGGGATCTTCACCGACAGCTACAGTCGCTATAGAAAGCAGATGGCCGTGCAGAAATACCTGGCAGCGGTTCTGGGAAGAAGGTACAGACAGAGAGTTAGGAACAAAGGACGCCGACTTGCCTATTTGTAGCGTTGTTAAAGCGCCCAAACTAACCTCCTGTGTATATACATCCAGTCGTTAAATCAAAGTCATTCAGATATATCTGACCAACCAGTGGATTGCGCCTGTGTTCTTTTAACATGTATTTATGTATGAAGTAAAGCCATTAAAATGAATATTTTAATAATAATATCGTTTTTTTTTCTTTTTGTACAAAAGCACTTGATACCGCACAGTTATACTTTGTGGACCAATATTTTATTTTCATGTTGAGATGTTTAAAAAACAAAAGAAAATGGCAAAAAAAAGAAGAAATTAGAAGAAAGAGAAAAAAAAAAGATAATTGTGCACCTTCAACATTATGCGCTTGGAATCTCTAAAGGTCATCTACATATGCAGAAAATAAATAGATTTTAAAAAGACAATCAAAGTATTGAATGTTATACTTATTTTTGTAACCAACGTTCTATTTTTTTAGTGTTGTTTGTTTTCCAAACAGGCCGAAAGAAGCAGTGAGCATGCTATGTGAGTCATATCGGGGCTTATCCTAAATGATAGATGTTGCCCTTGTCCACTCTCCTCCTCGCTCCCTTAATGGGAGCTCTGTGGGTTCCTAGAGCTTGCCCCTCCAGGGGAGTCCAGTGGCTTTTGTTGAACAGCCTCTCATATGATGGAAAAACTGATTGACTCCCACGGCCATTCATGTAACTGGTGGTAAAAATCCGACCCTCTTTTAAGCAGAAATTTAATTGCAGGCTTTTGCAAGGGCACTATTGCCTTCACTAGAGATACAGGAAGCACTCAAGTTGCTGTTGACAGTATGCGGCAAACACTGCTTGCTCACTTGCCTCAAAGTAATTTACTGTGGGGAGATAAATCGTGCTGTGTTAAGAATGTTCCATATGTGTGTGTGTGTGTGTGTGGGTTATGTACAGTATAGAAATTACACACAGTGCACATAGTCATCTCAGTGTTGTCTGTGTTTCAGTAAACAGAATTATTTGGAAGAATGTGCTTCAACTGTTGATTGTCTTTCGGCAGCACTACAAATATTCAGAACGGACCCAGAACAAGATGCAGGAAATGAAGCATATTTTTGTGACCAGAGGTGGAGAGGAAAGGTAGCATCTGAGTTGCAGTTAGGGATATTTAACCATGTTTCTTATTTATTGGTGCATGTGGAAACTGACACCTTGCTAATTTTTGCTTAGAAACTGCATGTCATCGTGCTTTTTTGGATTGTGCTATTTGGGTAGGTGGGCTGTGCTAAGCCTATATCAGCACCACTCCCCCCCACCCCCTCCTTCAGATGTGTTGGAAATGTGAACAAGGAGGGCTAGAGGTGGTGGAAACTGGTACTGCACTGACTTGTTGAATTCTTACCTCCCCCATGCTGCTGTCATTGTGGATATCATAAGACGAGACACTGGACCCCCCCCCCCTCTTTGTCGATTGCCTTTGTCCTGGTAGCGGTTTGTAAAGATTCTTTTGCTTCTAGATCACCGTGTATATTAGCTGATTCGACAGTGCTGTGATTCTTTGTTAAGACGAATCTGATCTGTGTTAGATGTCTACTGAGGTTCGTGCAGTGATAAAGAGATGAGGAGAGTGTTAGGTGTGTGAGAGAGAGAGAGAGAGAGAGAGAGAGAGAGAGAGAGAGAGAGATAGGTGTGCATAGAGAGGAAGACAGAGCTGGAGACAAAGAGAAGATGTGTGTATGTGTGTGTGTGAGAGAGAGAAAACAAAGTGAAGAGACGGGTCACAGCACCCACAAAGCAGCCTGAGAGAGATTGTCACACCTGGAAACAAGAGGCGAGAGCCCCACTGCCTCTCTTCACCTGCCAAAGTAACATCGGGGTCAATGAGTCCGATAACAAATAGATGTTAAAACTGTCCCTTTGGTATCGGCAGGAGGATGAACAGAACAGGCCCCTCTGAGTTTCCCTCTCACTCTAGAATGGAGGTGGATGAGGGATCGTTCCACTGATGTTTATTAGCGAGACGTCTCACATTCAATGTTATGCAAATGAAACTTTATGCACCTCTGCAATCCAATCAGTGGCCTGCGTCCCCGTCCCCCCCCCCATAGAAACTATCAACACACTCCTTCAATTTCGGCTTTATCCAATAGGCTTTGTTTGAATGCGAGTGTGCGGAAAAGTAGATGTTTGAATGTTGGTGAGCCTTCGTGTTTTGCGTGTGAGTGTTTGAGCGTGCATCAGATGTTTGTTTTGTGTAAAAGGGTGACTGAATGCGCACGTGAAGGTGGAAACAGCTTTTGGCTTTGGTGCCTTGCTTCGACGTGAGAACAAAAAAAAAATGAAATTCGCCACAAGTGACAGATGGCAATTTAAGTGGCCCTACAATGCTGCAGTCCATAAGCGTACATTGAAACTTCCTTTCACTCTGTTTGATCGCTCTGCTTAGTCGGCCCCAAGAGTAGTAGTAGTATTAGTAGTATTAGTAGCTTTCTTTTAAAGCATGGCCAATGATTTATTGAGTATAAAAATATAAAAAGAACAGAATATATATGTTGATGGAACAGGCAATGTGTGTGTGTGTGTGTGTGTGTGTGCATGAGTTTGGGGTGTTCAGTGTCTGCGAGAGTTGTGAACAATGACCAGTGTTTGTTTACTGTCGATTATGAGGTGTTGTTGATTATTTTGATATTGGTCAGTAATTTATTAATCAGAAAAATAGCCCCAACATATTATTTACAACTACTATGTGCATCACCTATTCAGAACAAAAGAGTTTCAGAACATGACAGAGATGTTGTTCAGATCATAGAAAATGCCTGTTGTTGATATTTCTGAAAGCGCCAAACGCCTTACTTCAATGTTTAATCTCTTATCTATCTGAAGACTATGTGTTTTAAAAGTGAACCTTAGTACAAGTGGCATCGTTATACACACAGGAGTCCTTATATGGGGTTTTACGTTTCTCAATGTTATGAAAGTGTTGTAAGATTTGTATGAATAAATTTTTGTAAACAACAACATTTTCTAATGAATGTCTAATCTTTGAAATACATAATTTTTAGGATGATACATCATGTGTTGTGTAACAAAGACGGCAGAGAGAAGGTTGTAGCGTTGTCACACATCTTGACTACAGTCTTTCGTTAGTCTTACATCAGAATAAAGCTTGAGTCTACACCTGAAAAATGTGACTTTACATGATCACCAAGGGCCACAGACTGAGATCTGCTCCTGAAACAAACACAGACCTCAAGTCACATTACAGAAGATAAAGTGAAACGTCCTCCAGCAAGCACAGCAACAACTCTGCTGTTCTCTAGTGGGGTTGTGTCGACCTGAAGTCCTGTCAACTTCAATTTATCTTTCCGAAGCTAGATCAACAGAAACGAAACAGAAAAAGAGACACTCAAAGCACCGGTGCCTTGTGCAGAATTGGTGCAACAATCTATCAGCAAGAGGAGTTAACACTGTATTAACTCACTTACAAAGCAAAGTGAAATGTCTTTGGTGTTTCTTATTGACCGGTTCTCACCACATTACAACATTTCAAGGTGGTTTTACAATTTCAAGTTCCAATTTAAAAAAACAGAGCTAACGGTTGAACACATCGAAGCAAATGCAGCTGTAATTCAAACCGAAGACCCCGACCGACATCACCAAGGAGCTCGTCAAGATAAGCCACGACCCTGCACTGAGCTGCAAGAGCTAAAGAGAGTGTCCCTCCTCCAGGAACAGCGCCGCGTCTTTCCCCTCACTCCATCCCTGGCCTTGGCAGTGCAGCTGTGTCCCGTGGGAGAGGAGGATGGGTGTGGCAAAGCAGCGTGTGTGCGAGATCTGATCCTCATCAGCCAACAGGAGTGTGTGTGTGTGTGTGTGAGTGTGTGTGTGCACATGCACCAGAGCTCAACTAACCCAATCAGAGAAATGTTGCATGGCAACGGTCCACAAAGGGACATGGTTATGTATACGCATGTGTCACGTTTGTATGTGTGGAAAGGGAGTGAGGTAGAGAGATTGTGTGTGTGTGTGTATTTTATGTGTGCTCAACAAAGGCAGACCTTGAGCCAGCTCTGCATTGGGATAGGGTTTACACTTTACATTTGTACACACATACACACATACACACACACACACACACACACACACACACACACACACACACACACA